AGGTGACGAATGCTTGACAGGCGAGGCTTGAATTTCGGTCTCCTCGAGGCGTGGTTCCTCATTTGCTAAGGGGCTGAATTTGTTCTGAACTTTGATTCGTGGCCTATTCCTGGGTGCTCTCGTGTTCGCCAGTAGTCGCACTCCCTTCCTTACTGGCGTCCATCGTTTAAAGAAGGCTTGCTTGTGGCGTTCCTGCCTCCTTCTGGACAGAATCTGGCAATATGGCCGGGTTTCCTGCAGGTGAAACACAGCCTTGAACGACCCTCTGGCTCCCTGGTTTCTCTCCCACCGGATGGTGTTGGTTGGCTTGACCAGGGTCCAGGCTGGCGCCTCTGATGCCCTGGTGCGCGCACTGCCTTGGCGTAGCTCGCAAATGTTGCGGATGCTCCCTAAGTACCTCACCGCTTAGGCCCTGAGCCAGCCCACGCGTGAACAAGATAGCTCTGGAGTGGTCATCAAGCTCGGGAACTTGTAAGCTAAGCCGCGAAAATTTGTTGATGTATTCGTCAAGAGTCTCATCTTGGTGAAGAGCGAATAAGTCGATGCGCGCCTGTTCCCTGTCATAAACCGGGCCGTACCCTTCTCCCAGCTTGCTCTTCAGGTCTGGCCAGTCGGAAAACAGCGTGTTTGCCTCCTGAGAGGCGATAAACCAAAGGCGAGCGTTGCCCTCCAGAAAACTCGCCGCGTAGCTCAAGCGCTCCTCCGCGTTGTCCAGCTGCAGGGACTTCATGGCGAGTTCGATGGCGAAGGCCCACTCCTTGAACTCTCTTGTATCTCCACGAAACACAGGCGGAGACTTAACATGGCGCATGCGTGGCCTCTCTCCGCTGGGAGCTTGAGCACGTCTTGGCGTTTGATCTGATCCATCGCACTGACCGAGTGCGATAAGGTGATTCAGACGCTTCTGAATCTCGAATATACCGTAGGCGACTAATGCGGCCACTGCGCATAGCCCGAACATGACGAAAGGAAAAACCATCCTCTTGCTACCAGTGTAACAGTCCAACTAACTTCAGTAGTCATTCTTGGAATAAGCAATGATCCTTGCCATAATGCGTTCTTATATACATGAACAAGCAATGATGGACATAACACCTAACAGCAGCAGCGTGATAATAGCAGGTGATAAGTGTATCCTATTCCTAGTGTTAGTAGTAACAGTGAATCTGTTACACCCACTCCCCCCCCCCCCCCCCCCAGAGTGTGCAACGCCGATCCAGTTCTGCATAGGGTCTTGGTGGAGCGGAATCGGATCTTCTGATGTCATGCGTACACTCCACACCAGCGCAAGGCCGGTCCCGAGGCAGAGCACTGTTGTTTTTGATCCGAGAGTACCCACGATTCCCCGGGTTCCCCTCAGATGTGTAAGGTATTATGACGCATAGATCAGATTACGCTCGACCAAGACCCTATGCAGAACTAGATCAGGCAGTGCACACTCTGGTGCTTATGTACTCTGTCATACTGTATCTACGACCCAAGCTTGATTTTTCACTCCTTCCGCACTCATCTATTACCATATCCATAATCATTAATCATCTTACCCATCACTTTTTTCATATCCTTTTTTGAATGCGCTGTGTCCATACTCCATAAATTCATGCTCCACGTCTCGTGATTCAATCATTTTTATCCGCTTTCATAATTATAACCTTCTGCATTATTTTAATCAATTATACATACATTTTCATTAACTCTTCATCATTTTGTCGGAACTAGGCCTCCGTACCTAGTCGTCAGGCGAATTTACTGGTCAGTCGGCGACACGCATTTTCACAAAAAATTGCATTTCAACCGCTGGGAGAGTATGCGTGTCCTCGAGTCTCATCCTGAGCACGTTTTTTCTTCTTTTTTCAGCTCCAGTATAGCTGGATTTTTCATTGCAAAGCCGTCCTCGATTGTTGTGAGAGAGAGACAGAGAGACAGAGAGAGGGAGAGAGGGAGAGAGGGAGAGAGAGAGAGACAGAGAGATAGAGAGAGACAGAGAAAGGAGGGAAGAAAGAGAGAGTGTGTGTGTTTGAGAGAGAGAGATAGATACATAGATAGATAGATGGATAGATAGATAGAGGGCATTCCAGAGGTAGCTACCAAGGAAATGCATAGTATACCGTCCAGATCGTCCAGGTAGAAAAGGGATACAGAGAAGCTGAATGGCTTGACCCCTTGTTGTTACAGGCAAGAATTCAAAATCCGATACACGTGCACAGGCACACTCTCCGTACGCAAACGGGACAACACACCATTACTAAACGTTCTGGATTTCTCCTTGCAAACACACTTCAACCATAACCAGCATAAATCTAAAAGCAAAACTGCAAAAGGAAGCAAAAAAAGGGCCAGCAAAGGCACATCGCGCTTGCGCCACGACATACACGTACACGTGACACCAAAGGCATCATAGTGCGAGCATGACTCATAGTCATAGTCATAGCTCAGTCATACAGCAGTAACAGCTAGCACAGCGCAGTTGTACAAGCGCGTGATCGCGGTTGCAAAGGGTTTCAAAAATACAAATAATTATCATGAGAGCAGCTCAAAACAAGTACACTTTCGAAGCGGAAACAGAATAGAAGAGAGACAGAGAAGCAGAGCGGAACGCGATTAGACAGAAGGAGAGAATTATCAGTGTCAGTAGAGCAATGGCATGGGCACTGGTAATAACGGAACAGACGACATGGCTGTAGGCTGGAGCATCTCCACTTGCGCGTTAGCACCAACGTGACTCAGAGGAAAACAAATAAATAAACAGCCAGGGTAAGGTCAAAACGAGAATCATTCAAGAGGCTGTCTTAAGACATTTACTTGTACAAAACAGGTGAGTGGCGACAACACTTCTGAAGGGACGATCCCCGTGCACGACGGGGTCGGCAGGGATCAACTTGAAGTAAAGCAGAAACAATGTGCTGGCTGACGAGGACAGACAATGAAAGACAAACTGCAAGACTTTGAAGATGAAAAGGTGCTCAACAGAAAAAAAGCGAGAGGCGTGTGCGTCGTGGCCCAGTGGGCACGGCCCCATGCAATTGGTATATGAGCCGAGCCAAGCAAAAAGGTGGCTTAGGCATAATTTTTGGAAATTTCTTTTTCCATGCCAAAGTGATGTCTACCTATCCAACTTCCATCACGAAAATTTTGGTGCCCATCTGAAATGTATATGTGCCATAAATACGTATACATTGCGCACATGTCACAGCATACCTGGTATCAATGACACTAAGGGTTTGAAGACCGGCCCAAACTCCGAAAATCATGGGACACCAAGTGGAGACAAAGCTTAGCAGGTGTGGAAGCAATACAAGAAGAACGAGCACTTGTGTTCTAATTAGAAGATCCAAAGAAAGAATAAATAATTGATCTATGTATCTCATGTCATTTCTTCACGCACCACGAATTTTCATATCCTTCAATGATGTTGTGAGTCTGTGACTATATTTTCGCTGGGCTGGGATACGTCGCATCTAAGTCTTACCAAGACAGTCCGTTACTCTCTCCGATCACCTATGCCAGCATGAATTAATCCTTTCATGTAGCTCGTAGTGTTGTGCCAGAGATCAAGCTCCATCCGTCCCTTGCACGTACGTGTAGGTCCAGCAGACAGCACATCGCTAAAAAGCGGCACTGATTCCTTGTCCGTCCTAGTCCATGTCATTCTCCTTCCCTGGTGCAGGTAGTGGTAGAAGGCACCACAATAATGCTTACAGGTAGAGTCAATTCGTCGCTTCGTCGTGTGGCACCATTGGCCTTGAAATGAGGAAATTTTGGAATGCAGTACGCCACGTCATGAACATTTTGAAGGTGCCGAAACAAAGTGAAACATCGCAGCAAGAGCCAACTCACTAGGCAGCTTGTCAGAATGATAGTCGGACGGCTTGTACACGTCTCCCCATAGCTATACTAGCCGCTCTAGTCGTGGCCACGATGAGAAACACGGCCACTATGAATGAGCGAATCTTCCTCGTCAAGTGGGGTTGGGCGCACACGGAGACAGAGTGTCATCCTGCTCACCTCCACATTCTCCAGAACGCTTCATTACGATCTCTGGCAGGGGCAAGAAATCCCCACAACGATGAAAGAGGGAACACTGAAGAAGTGTTGCTCAAAAATAAAAGGCCTCTTTCTTCTTCTCCACTTGCAAACTTTTTTACTTGAAAGTTTCAAAGGGTGCTCGAAAGTGAATATTTTCGCGACTGCGCTCGAGTAGAATTTTGCCGACTGTGACGTTTTGGTGATTTTCTCGATTTGTTGGCAAAACACTGAGCCACTTTTTAGCTTGGCGCGGCTCATATGGCGTGAACGCTAGACTTGCTGACTTTCAGTAGGCGGGTGACTAACTGCTTTGTGAGGTACGGAAAAAACTTAAGGAATTAGATGCATAAGTGATTCTAGACTGAATTACTGCTATGTACCATAGGCGGCGTGCAGTGAGTGACAGTGCTTGTCAATGAGAGCTGTCCCACAGCAATAGACACTGCGTACAACTTGTTCGACATGCGGTTGCCAAGAGAGTCATAACTCATAACATTTTGTCCTCCTTTTTCACCATAATTTAATTGTCTCACCATCCGACCAAAAATGAGTATCAAAATTTTTTCCCAGAAATAGACATACATCCTATCAAGAGTGCATAAACAAGAGTATGCAACTGTGGTTATGGGTCAGTGCGCGGCGCGCTGCCTTCATTACGTAACTTGCCTTCATCACGCTCTGAAAGCATGCATCCAAACTCTCAATTTCTCGCACGAGCCCATCCGTTTTTGCTCGATTCGTTCCAGTACCTACACAATCTCTGAATTCTGGCGCGTGAACTCCAGTTCCGTACGAAAGTTCATTTCAAACTGGAGGGAAAGTGCGGTGTTTGATTTTCCGCAGTGCGCGGACTGCAGCTGAATGATGTAATGAAGGCAGCGCGCCGCGCATCTGGCCCATAGAAAAGATATCACAGTTGCATACTCTTGTTTATGGACTCTTGATCCTATCAAAATTCTATATTGTTCTCCCAGATATTTGCACCATAATAAACTTGTTGACATACCCGACGGGCTGTTGGACGCCATACCCAAATTACTTTACCTGTAAGTCATGGTGTGTATGTATCGTAAAATGACGTTTTTTTTGGTGTAGTTCTGTTCTTTTGGGTTGTGGCAAATGGGATTTAGGGGTTTAACATTTCGTTGGTTGATCTGATGTACCCTCCCCCCCCCCCATTATGACCTGCCTATGGCGCCGCTCACGGGGTGGTAGCGACCAACGAAAGTGGAAATTTGGTTCTTGACCCACTCTGTACTGAAACCCGTGCAGAACCAAGAGCAGCCTTGCATCAGATACATTTGTATGTAGACATCTATGAATGACCATCCGTGTGCTATGGATGAACATGGCCACTAGAGGTAGCCATGAGCGGCTACTTCGACCATGGCAAAAAAGCATCTAGTGGGTGGCCAAAGTTGTTGCTTGCCACAAATCTGGTAACTCAGCTGAATAAGCTGGTTGTGATAACCAACACCATGGAAGACCTTTCTATGGGATCGCCTGATGGTGCCAAGTCTGCGAGTTGGTGGGGGTGCTGGTCTTAGACAAACTTGCGGAGAATATTGATAGGAGCGGCATTGGATTATACCGCGATGACGGCATAGCTGTACTGAGAAATGCCTCTGGTGCGGCGGTCGACAGAGTGCGCAAGGATATCACCTCTGCCTTTGCGTCATTTGGCCTCAGAGTAACCATTGGGGCCAACCTAAAAGTCGTCAACCTCAACCTCCAAAATGGCAACTACCAGCCTTAAAGAAAACCGAATGATAACCCACTCTACCTCAACATGCAATCCAAACACCCGCTTAATATCCTCAGAAACTTACCCAAGGCAGTGGCGAAACGCATCTCCAGCATCTCGGCTGATGAGGGAGTGTTCAATGGTGATGCCCCCCCCCCCCCCCAACCTCCCCCCACCCCCACCCCCCCCCCCCCCTCTACAACGACGCATTGCATGCCAGTGGACATGCAGTTAACATAGAGTACGTCGAGACAGAGGAGAAGCAGAGTAAGCACCAACGAAAGCGCGACATTATCTGGTTTAACCCGCCCTTCTCCAAAAGCGTGTCCACGAATGTTGGTGCTGCATTCCTCCGCCTAATCACCAAGTATTTCCCCAAGACATCGATACTCCACACGATATTTAACCGAAACTCGGTCAAGGTGAGCTACTGTTGTTTGCCAAGCATGGCGTCTGTGACATACTCGCACAACCGCAAGCAGATGACAAAGCCCGCAGAGCAAAAGGCGTGCAATTGCAGGTCGCCACCAAGTTGCCCGCTGCGAGGAGACTGCCAAGCAGAAGCTATAGTGTACGAGGCAGTGGTGACCACACAGCATGATGAGAGAGGCTACTTCGGATCGAACACACCCCGTTCAAGCTTCGCCTGGCAAACCACAAAACCTCTATGCGCTTTGCTACGTACAGGCATAGCACAGAGCTATCGAAGCATGTCTGGGGATTAAAGTCCAAAAATGAAGCGTGCGAAATCAGGTGAAAGATTTGCGAAAGGTCTAGGGCTTACAGCAACCTAACCAAGAGATGCCCGCTATGTACAGCACCGAAGACCTGGACAGCGCTGAGCGACCGAGACTAGGCCTTCAATAAGAGAAGTGAGATGGTCTCGAAGTGCCGACACGCCAGCAGATACTGACTGAAGGACTACACAAGAGCAGCTATCACCTGAAGCACCCATATTCACCTGGGAAATTAGCGCTGTCTACACATCCCATAACTGTTATCCCTCATGGCGCTGATTTCCCTAGCGTGTGCTTACACTCGCACCAACCAGCACAATAGCTTTTCACAGTAATGCTGTCACCCAAATTGCTCTTTTCTTTGACTGGCACTGATTTTCTCTTGTCCTGTTCTTGGCTGCTATCATTCTCACCTCACACCACCAGGCCCTGTTATAAGACCCCTTGTTCTGGCCAGTGCTCTATTGTTGTTTTTTGCCTGCGCGATGATTGCACCCACCTGTGCAGGAAACTCTTGAGTAGCAAAAGTGAACTTCTGTCGATTTCTTGGTAACCATTGTTTTCCTTCCGAAGGATGTTTCACCAACTCTTGAAAATAGTAATTTTATTTATAAGTATGCGTGTCGCTGTGAGCGGACGTACGTTGGTGAGACATGTCAGCGATTCTCGGAAAGGATCAAGCAGCATATCCCAGACAAGCTGTACAAGAAGCCGCCTGACAAACGTGTGGCAACAAGTGATAGCGCCATCACAAAGCATTTGCAGGCGCAACCTGAATGCATCCCGCAGGAACGCAACAGCAGCTTCAGTGTCATCACACCAGCCCGGAACAGCGGCCACCGATTCACACTGGAGGCGCTGTACAGTAAGAATATTCTTGCTGATTCTCTACCCCCAGTATAAATTCTGGCTTCGTTTTCGTTCTTGCTCATCCCCATGCAACTACTGATGAAAATGGGTGAAAAGCTTTTAGTACTATGAAATTGACAACCTTGTTGTTGTGTGTATATAATTTTATATATATATTTAAATAGAGAGGTAGGCGAACAAAATTTATATACACACAACAAGGTTGTCAATTTCATAGTACTAAAAGCTTTTCACCCATTTTCATCAGTAGTTGCATGGGAATGAGCAAGAACGAAAACGAAGCCAGAATTTATAATGGGGGTAGAGAATCAGCAAGAATATTCTTACGCGCCTCAAGTCCACACTACACTACATTTCTTCGAGGATTTTAAAAAAATGGCTTTCACATGTTGAGCAAGACTGACGGACAGAATCTTTCCTCACGGGGTCTGGAACACCAAACTGATCTTCCACTGTGATATCACCACATACACTTGGGTCCATCGTGCTAAGCCAGCCCCGAGGGGCAAAAACTGCAAAGCCCAAAAATGGCAAACCGCCCCCTGCAGCCGCAAAAATTTCCCGTTGCCAGCACAATCGTGCCAGCCCAGCCCTCCAGGACTAGTTTCAAAGTGCTCCTGGAAACACCACCCGCCTCCAGCAAGGAGAGGGTTTGCGCCTCCCGCTAGCCCGGCCAGCAGCAGGGACATCCCGTCCATCGCACTGTGGTGCCGTCCTCTGGAACACCCTCCCCAGCGAAGTTCGCCTACTCAACCGTCCCAGTGAATTCGACGTAGCCGCACTGCCCTTCACGCTGGCAGGCTAGATCTGCAAACTCCCTTCTATGTTCACAATCCCATACTCCTTGGAGTAGTCTGCACAGCGCTACTGATGCTGCTGCTGCCACAGAAGCTACTGCTGTGGCTGTAGTTACAGTCCCTCTCGTTGTCAGGAAATGCTTGCTTATGCTACTCTTCATCCAGTTAAGGAGGCTCAGACCACCAAACTCCAAAAATTAAAAAAACGTAGAAAGTTTATATAAACTTGAAAATTTGTTCCTTGGGTAGTGCTTATGTTGATTGTCTAAAAATTTGGTGGGTCACCGATATGCTTGGCGTCGTTTGAGTTGTTTTTTGGAGAGGCGTCAATACTTGAAATTTTGCCATTTCCAATAAGAAAAAACTGTTCTATTTCCTGTTGAAGTGTATCTTCCTCAGATTTTTTAGTCTAATCTATGCAGGCCACAACTATGACACATACCCACTATAGATAATTGTATCATCTTACTTTACTTAGGATATTACAACAATTTGGTGCATTTTGCATTTGCAAAAATATAGTACAAATTAATACGTATGTATTCTGCACCATGGTTCAAGAATGGAACATGTATTCGGTGAATAAGTCTGGGAACACATAGTTCACAGAATGAGATTCATTGTCCAGTAGTATAAACTAGGACTTACAGCAGTGATAATGGAGAGAAAAATAAAAATCGCTGTGACAATTGGGTTGTGTTTTGTGGATTTTATGGTATAGGCATGCAATAAATTCTAAACTAATGTAACATTTACACAGCCAATATGTACAACCAGAATGTATCTTCAAAGGTGGCATCCTCACACAGTCCATCGTGCAGTACATGCACTGTCGCAATACAGCAATGGTTCCAACACGAGACAGATCGGACAACAAAAAATGCCGAACGAAAACATAACCGGATACTGAACACATGAAGACAATAGCACAATACAATCTTTCATCTAACTCCGCGATCCGAACACACCCAGAGAATTCAATCGTCGATGTCCAAGAAGGAATAGTTTACGTGGGTGACAAGGACACCTCGACGATCAGCGGTGGGTGAGCATCTATCACGAACGTCGAGGTGACCATGCCAGGCGGAAATCAACAAAATAAAATTGTGTGACACATACCTTTGTACTACCAGGACATCCTGGGGCATAAGCACGACTTCCCCCTTGCATCCTTCAGCCTCATTCTGCCCAGAGTCGTGCTCTGGTTCTTCAAGACTCACCAATCTCAGATTCCACAACAGGCTCGACTTATTTTGTCGTGTTATTTCTCATGAAAGACTGAACGCGATGTGCAACTCTCTCCTTGGAACACCAGCTTCGAACACTATGCAACAGCGGCATTATTGGCAGCCCAGTGCTAGAACTAAGTCAAACGAACTGGCTATACTATGCGAATAAAGGAAAGGCAGCCATTACAAACGCCATGGTGCAAGCAAGGAGAATCAAAACACAAAGCCCAAAAATTTGAACCTTGAAGAGAGCACGCGGAAGAAGTACAAATGTTACGTTTGCACGCTTCAAGTCACGCTTACAAAAGTACTAGCACGCTTCGCTCGCATGCCAGCAGTAGGTACTTTTTTCAATGCGCGCGCATGTGGTCCGAGCCACTTTAAGTTCTGTTTGAACGCTATTTAGCGCGTATTGGCTTGTGATTTCCTTTCTTCTGTTTGCTTAAGCATTTTATCGCTCCACAGGTACCCTCGGTCTCAGGTACTTTCATATTTGTGCAATTGTTAAATTTGCTCCTGAATTGTCCTCCCTGTTGCTTTGCTACCGTCCTCCTCCTTCCTCCACCCTTTTTCTTAATTAACCCCATTATCACATTCGCTTCCATGTAATTGGGCTTGTAGCCCGTGTGTACTTGCGAATTCAAATAAAATATACATACATACATTTTGGGCCAATTTCGAGGTGGTCCCCAGTTCCAAGGTGTCCGTAAGTTATGCAACGATCCCCTTTGGCATGGTTGTTGTAGACTAGGCATAGGCGGGTAATGCTAGTTATTTGCTGCGATAATGCTAAAGGCAATGCTCATAATATGAGGATTTATCACTCCCTTAGTATTGACTCGCATAGATTTTTGCCATACCTAAGCAGTCAAATATTCCTGCATATTTCACTCCTTAGGGCTATATTGACTGCTTAGGGGTTGCGCAGTTGAACGGTGCCTAGTGCAGCATTTTCACTGCATGAGTAGGTGGTGGTGCAACGATTGTGCAATCATAAAACCGGCATTCATGAGGTTATCGTTCTGGAATTTGAAATACGGACTGTTTGTCGTGATAAATCTAATATTGACTTCGTACTTGGTCAGTATAGGAAATAAAAGACCTCGTGAAAGACCTCGGCTTCGCCTCGGTCTTTTACTCGGCTTTTATTTCCTATATTGACCTCGTACTCAGTCAATATTAGATACATACTGCCTCGTATAATGCTCTCACTACTCCATAATGCCAGTTTGAAAGTTGGAAAAGTCGATTTAAGAAGGCCGTCTTGGATCAAGGCCAAAGCACAGAAGAAGAAAAAAATAAACAGCAGTGAGAATGTTGTCTGAAACAATCCACTGAGAAGGTTGATTTGCAACGTCAAGTCTCCGGACGAAGCCGGTCGGGTTCAGATGCACGATTTTTGGAACTGGACCTAGCCAGCGTCATGCATGACACCGTTGTCGACCGGCAATTATGCTTGTAATGCCAATTTTGCATTCGAAATGGTGTTATAATGCCAGCATTATGCCACCCGGAAAAAGGGACTATAATGCCAGCCATAATGCTAGCATTACCCGCCCATGCCTATTGTAGACCCCAAAGGAAACCTACTTGTAAAATTTTGACGGAAAACAGAGACATGGCCCAGCCCAGCTTTTCTGGTTTTCTCAAACATGCTCTCTTTTAAAGAAATTCTTCCAGGAAGTGATGTACATCCTATCAAAATTCTACTTTGTCTAACAGAGATTTGGAAGGTAATCAACTTACTCGCCTACCTGACGGGCTGTTTGACGCCACACCCAGATTAAATACCCTGTAAGTCATGGTGTGTATGTTTCGGAAAATGACGTTTTTTTTGCATAGTTCTGTTCTTTTGAGATGTTGTTGTTGTTGTTGACTTTTATTTTACTTCACCAATTGCACAGGCATGATTGCCTTCTTACCGGCCCATAGGTCCGGTTCTCACAGGAAGATGAAGGAAATTATATGAGGAAATGTATAGAGATAAAGACATGCAAGCGGTCTAGTTATTATTATAGAAATGTTTGTTATGACATTGTGTGCATGCTGACACTCAAGTTGTGTGAATTTTTTAAATTGCGATAACAAATAATATGTAGTGGAAGCATTTCATGAAAATATATGTGTGAACATTGGCAGACTTTGTTGGATGGGCACAATTTTTAGCAGTCCAAGGAACATGAAGTACAGCGAGTGGTGTTTGACTGTTGGCATAGAGTTTAGAAGTTACGTAGGTCAATATTAGATAGGGCTCTCTTGAATTGATCGGCGGCAGTTATCGATCTTACATCAGCCGAGAGGGCGTTCCATGCAATACTGCCGTGAAACATCATACTCGAGCGACCAGCAGGCCCGCGAAGGAAAGGGACTTGGAGCAAATTGGAGACTTGGCCCCTAGTGGTGCGCTGATCGTTTAGCACATTGATTGGAGCAGTCGTTGTAAAGAGTTGCTGTAGGAGTGGGCTACAATATCCATTGATACAGCGGTGTACAAAAATTAGAACTTTCTGAGTGTACGTGTGTGCCAGGCTGACAATACTAAGAAGTGCCAGAAGTGGTGCTGTGGGGGTGAGGAAGGGCTGTTGCAAGGTTGCACGAATTCCGGCTTTGAAACTCTTCTCCAGACGTCCAAGCAACTGGGCAGAAAGCCCAGGAACAAAGCTATTCGAACCATAGCATAGCTGAGAGAGGACCATGCTGAGGAACCAAGTGCGTCTTGCACGCAAACTGAGTCCTTGACCATGCCTCCAGGGCCAATGGTCCTAGATACTTAGCCGAAGTTGTGACAGCAAATTTGTCAGCATGGCAGAACACCTCAGGCTGTGTGTTATCTGCGCCTCGGGGCTTTATGAAGAGAAGCTGAGTTTTTGCTGCATTCAGCAGCAAACCAATATCTTCTAGCCACGTGGCGAGGCTAGTGGCAAATGGGATTTCGGGATTTGGCATCTCGTTGATTGATCTGATGTACCCTCCCCCACGCTTTACGACCCGAATCTGACGCCGCTCGTGGAAGACTTTTCCAAGTGGAACTCTGTGGCTGGGCTCCGTGTTGGATAGGCCTTTGCGGATAATGCCGGCAGAAAAAATGGCAGAATTCGGTACTTTTTCTGGTAAATTTCATGCATGTTTGGTATGTGGATACAGAAATGGAGCAGAATTTGAGGAATTGCCCGCCATAAGGTTTGTTTGGTTCTGCCAATTTCACTGCTTTTCGAGCAGAATCTGCCACCTTTTCGAGCATTATCCGCCAATGCCTAGTATTGGAAGCAAAGAGCTGAGATTTTTTTTTTTTTTTTACTGAATACCACAGTACCATCAGATGCTGCACAGCGGGGGCGGTGGCATATTGGATGGAAGTGGGGACGGGGCAAAAGTAACTCCTCCGACCAAAGGTCTCGGAATCATCGTTACTCCTGTGCGCCGATACATAGGAGAAAAGAAACATGTGCATCCAAGAGGGGAGCACCGGCTTTGCAAACGATAATGGGGAGAATTTGAGATTGGGATAGGACAAAACAATAGTAAAAGCAGTGTACCGTAGGAAGATGGAGTGAACTGATAATCGGATTTTAAGGCTAAGCGAAGGGGATCAAAGAGGGGTAGAAGGGAGCTGGAGTGCGGTCAGTATAATTAGGCTGGTGTGTTGGCAGAGATCATAGCCTGTCTGTGGCCCACTCCCACTTGCTGCGCCGCAAGTGGTCGTTGACGTTTTCCTTGAACGTGTGCATGCCTCTGCGAGAAGGGGGAGACTGCAGAAGGGTAGGTGGGAGCTGATTCCACGTTGCGATGAGGGAGTGGGGAAATGAGCGGAGCGTGTTGTTTCGTGCCTGAGGAGGAAGGATACTGGTGAGTTGTGATGGATGATGTGTTGCCGATCTGGTTGTCTCACGAGTAGGCATGCGGTGTTGCGGTGCGGCTGCTGATGGTGGCAGAATGGCTTTCACCATTTCCGGACCCTCCACAAAGTGCAGCTTGTACAGAAAGCAGAGCCCTGCTACGGTACGGCGAATGTCGCGGCTCGGGAGGTATGATCCATCTCCAATTATGTGCAGGGCACGGCGCTGGATGGCAGTTAGGCGGGCCAAGGTGGTGGGGGCTACGCTCATCCACACCAGCATGCCATACTCTGGCACAGGGCGGACAAAGCCACGGTACACAATTGCCCGGTGCTTTGGGTCTAGCACAGCCGATGCCTTACGGAGGAAGCCGAGCCGCTGGGCTCCGCGTACTGCAAGCTGTCGGATATGGCTGCGGAATGCCAGCTGCCTGTCGAAGGTGACGCCAAGAAGCTTGAGCTCCTCTGCTTCTGGCACAAATGCTCCTTGGAAGCGTATTGCGTTCGGGGGGGGGGGGGGGGTTGCGAGCGGTGGTGGCTGATGGTCAATGCCTGCGACTTTATGGGCTCGAACTTGATCCTCCACCTGCTTCCCCATGCTGCCAGTGAGTCTACTGCCTGCTGGAGGATTTCTGTCTCTTCTGGCAGTCTGAGTCGGGTGGTGATGCACTTGTAGAGAGTTGTGTCGTCGGCGTATACAGCCAGCTTCGCCCCATCAGGCAGGTGGTCTTCTGCGTCGTTGACGTACAGAAGGAAGAGGGTGGGGCCGAGGATGCTGCCCTGTGGCACGCCAGATTGGATTCGGTGGGTCGGTGAAGACTGGCCACCTATGACGACACGGATGTGGCGGTCTGTCAGGTAACTCCGGAGCCAGGCAAGGAGGAGGCCACTTATGCCGCACCGCTCAGCCTTGTGGAGGACGCCGTTGTGCGAGACCTTGTCGAAGGCCCCAGCAATATCTACTGCGAGTACCCTGACGAGGCCTCCACTGGCATCTGCAAGGCTCCACTCATGCTGAACAGCAATCAACAGATCAGAGGTTCCCAGTCCAGTGCGAAAGCCAAACTGCCTGTGAGAAAGGATGTCATTCTTCTTCAGGAAGTTGGACAGGCTGCGGTTCACGATGGACTCCATACACTTAGACATTATGGGCAGTAGTGATATCGGTCGGTAGTTTCTGGGGTTCGACTTGGGGCCTTTCTTGTGTACCGGTACGACGTTGGCAACTTTCCACATGGCAGGTTGATGACCACTGCAGAAGCACAGGGTAAACAGCTTGGATAGGGGCAGGGCTAGAGCGTCGGCACATTTTCTCAGCACTCTAGCAGGTACTGCATCAAGCTCTGTGGCTTTACTTGGGTTCAGGGCTCGGAGTGTCCGGCGTACGGTGGCTTGGCGGAAGTGGACTGTTGCAAGCGTATTTGCGGTGCGCTGGCGGACATGCGGGAATGGCCCCGACTGTTCTGCAAAGTCATCGTCTAGGCTGCACTTCTGGGCAAAGTACTTCTGGGCAAAGTACTTCCCGATGACGTTAGCCTTGTCGTGGCTTTTGGTGCATTCCATGCCATCGGGGTCAACCAGTACTGGGATGGAGCTGTCCCGGCCATGCCCTCCAACTCGTTTAATCACGCTCCACCACTCTCTGTCCTGCAGGCTGCCCGTCCGGAGCCGTTGCTTGACATGGTCGAGATGTCTGGCTTTGGATCTTGCTAGACATCTTGTTGAGTCAAGGGATGCTAGCTTGTACGTACACTAGAGCGCTCCATTTCTGGGGTCATCGCGGAATTTCCGCCAGGCATTGCGCTTTCTGTCAATTGCTGCAGAGCATTCTGGCGTCCACCAGATTGGGTCCTGCGGTCTGGTCTTGAAGACCTTGGATGGTATAAAGCGTTGCATTCCCTCAGTGATTCGCATGGTCAGAAGCTCACATGATATGTTAGGGTCGTCGCCGATTATTGTGTCCCAGTCAGTAGTCCGGAGGAAGGCAGAGAGGCGGGGCCAGTCAGCCCGCTGGTATTGCCATACTGTACGAGTGGTGGGTTGGTCTACAGATGCAGTAAGCTGGAAGTCGGCTATGACAACAGCATGGTCTGATCTGCCAAGAGGTGGTTGGGTGGTGGTAGACACAGTTCCAGGCACATCTGACATGACGAGGTCAAGGATGTTTTCTCCACGAGTGGCTGAGGTGACGTGTTGTCGGAGACCATGTACACAGCACATGTCTTCTGCAGCTTCTCCAGCAGCCGAGGTGCGTGGACTTCCAAGCCATTCCCGGTTGTGGGCATTGAAGTCCCCTGCCACAATAATGTGTGAGCAGGACTGCCGGGCTTTGTCGATGTCAGATTCCAGCTGGGTGAAGATACTGTGTTGTTTGGGTTGGTGCATGGCCTACATTAGGTGGTGGGCTCGTGGGTCTGTGTATCCTGCTGGGGTGGCTGCGCACCATGCTGGTCAGCTCGCTTTGCATCCTGCGGCAGCGAATCTGGTGACCGTTCTGCAGAGGAACGTTTGTGGCTGTGAAGGGGGGTTACAGGTGTGCCGGCAGCGTCAGCGGACAGGCCACGACTTGCGCTCAGGAAGTCGTTAATTGTGGCGCCAATCCCAAGTTGCTGTTGCTCTTGATCATGCTGCTGTGCTTCCAACTGGTTGGTGCTACTGTCGCTACTGCTGCTGCGGCGACTGCTGGTGCTGCTGCGGTGACCACTGGTGCTGCTGCGGCGACTGCTGGTGCTACTGCGGCGAATGCTGGTGCTGCTGATGCTGCTGCTGCTGCTGTTGTTGTGCTTGTTGTGACTGCTGCTCTTGCTGCTGCTGATGCTTTTGGCCCCATTTGCATTTGTGGAGGTGTGGAATCTCCACGGCCTGCAGTAGAGCGGCCTTGGCCAGAAATTGGCTGACATCACTGTCAGCTTGCAGGTGGCATCCACTGATATCCTGGCGGACACTTTCCCGTTTCCGG